TTGACATGATAAACACTGCATGGATTGCATCTACCCACTTCATAATATTTGACATGTCTCAGTAGGCCAGCTGGTCGCTTCAAAAGACGTGGCGGCATCGCTCCCAAGGCTTGTTGGTGGTTGGTCCAAGCTGAAGCTGAAACTACCCGCAAAGGCCAGCAAATTGGGTCAGTGTAATCATCCATCCGGAATTGATTCATTGGGAAGCATTTCATGCAGCTCTATGACCAACCAAGTTACAGAGCACTTTTTTTGTTCTCATCGCAAATGTCTCAGCTGCCACACGCGCACACGCACACTGCAGTCTAGAAACGCAGCATGGCCTGGCCAAACCCAAATTTCTTTCGGTCATGGGTTATAGGATTGGAACACAGCAGATGCATGCTTTCACATGCCATTGCCACCGCACGGCAAAAGGTTGCTCCCAAACAGACAAGGTTCTTATTTTCAAAATATGATTCCTTCAGCGGCATTGTTTTTGATTGGTGGGGTGAGCAAACCGAATGTCTAAGTGCGGCATACCCCGAAAAATCCAACCCATGAGTCCATGTGGGGCTCAAAGCCTGGCTACCGTGATCCAAACAAAAAGATTGTTTGAATTTAGAGTAGACATTTCATATCATGTATCACCATGTCTCTGAATCACCGTAGCTACACATGAGGGATCCTCAGCTTTCACCTGCGTCCCCATCTTCTTCTACACTGTCCACTCCCCCGTCTGCAGTTTCCTGCTGTGGAACTTTGCCATCCTGCTGGGGGGTCACTGTCTTTCGGCGAGGCCTTGACAAAAAGTTACCCACATACTCCTTGGGCACAACACCATAGGCCTGAAACATTGCACTGGCAAGTTGCGCAAACCTTTGGGCGCTGGTCAGATCTTCCTTGCCATGCAAAGCTTGGTATTTGCGGTAAGCATTGCTATAAACAGTACCCGGATTGACATGCTCAGGTGGTTTAATCGGGTCAACAATGCTTTCCAAAGGGGGAATCTCAACCTCAGTTTTTTTCCCACCCTTAGGCTTCTTGACACGGTCAGCTGAGTCAGCTGCATCACTTTGCTTAGCCTTTGGCTTAGCAGATTTGGCAGTGTCAGCTTCACCAGTTTTGGCTGCTGTCTTTCCCCTTTGACGCTTGGCCGGTGGTTTCTCCAGTGGTTTCTCACTACCCTCTGGGCCATCTGTAGCAGTGTCACGTTTCTTTCGCCCCTTGGTTTTCCCGACGACTTCCCCCTGCTCAGCGAAAACTGCAATTTGTGGGCTTTCAAGGATCTTCTTCATTTCGTCTCCGAAGTGAGCACCGTTGGAGCCATATTTATACCCCTGAGACAAACATCTAACATCATCTAACCCCTCATCCAAGTGTAATGGCACATGAACTTGCCTTGATAGCTTGTGTTTGATTCTCAGCGTAACCAAACAACCCTGATGCAGCCAAGTTGCTTGGTGGCCCTTGTCCTCCGCAGGCAACTTGTCAATGACGGTCGGCTTCGAAGGCGCTGGAGCAGCAGGGTGAACCTCAAGGCTAAGGGACGCAGATCTATTATCAACAAACCATTTAAGGAATACGGGAGTACCATGACTTTTCATCATATGTATACTGTATACACAATGGGATTTGCTCATATGAGATCATATTGGTTCATCCTAGGAACGGTCTCTGAGGGCGCAGATGCTGCAGGCATAGCTGGACAGTCCTAGCACAAGATAGGTGTGGGTCAGCCACTCTTGTGTTTACTAATGATTTGTTTGACGAATCAACCCCATCCACCATTTATCACTTACCATGGTGTCCTTCGGTGGCTTGCATGATTCCGGATCTTCTTCGGGTTCCGTTGGAGTCAGCACTTCTTCGTTTCCAGGGATCAGTGGCAAGGGCTCAGCTGCAACCTCAGCCAGCTAGTATTTTTTCCACAGGATTGGCTATGTTGAATCCGTTAAGCTATATAATGTTTAATAGGGGTCCACCAATAAAGCAAGTTCAGTAAGCAAAAGTAAAAGTGTTGCAACTGTCCTGACCAAAAAACCTCTTCCATGGGAGCCGGTTCGTGTGAAGACAACCTCTTGGTTATTTCATCAGTAACTTCGACACCACGCAAAAACAAGCTCCGAAGTTTTGCCACACGGCGGATGCCTACAGCAACCCCCATTCAAAACAAAACCATGAGGAATTCTCATTGACTGTGGGCATGTCATACTATAGATACATCTATTGTATATGGCATATGGTTTGAGTCCCTGACAATCCTGGGTCAACTCCGTGTTGGCCCATTCCATTTGGAGACACTGTTCAAGCATGGACATGGCCCACTGAGGATCCGGAATCGCAGACACCATCTCTTCCATAGCATCAGTGGAGGCCGGGTTGAGCTGGGCCACGGAACTACCTGGTGGTTCCTGGCAAGTGTTGTAAAATGGGTTGTACACTCATCCATGCAACTTGAATCATTGAGCTAAGTATATAATGTATTCATGTATACGACTATTCGAATATATATAGTTGTTGAATGTAGTATCACTTATACAGGTCCTGCTGGGAATTCTGGGGCTTTTCATCACCAGACTCATCGCTGATAGCCCAAAGCGCAGTATCATCAGGCTTCATCTCACCAGACACCTCCTGCGGAGGTTGATAGGTCTGAGGTTTTGTGCATAAATGATTGCTTTAAGACTATGTATAGACATGTGGTGAACAAACTGAGGAAACATAGGCGGAGGTTGATAGGTCTGAGGTTTTGTGTTTAAATCGATTATATTCATATATTATGACTATATAAAGGATATGAGGTGAACAAACTGGGGAAACATAGCGGTCAGTTGTCTCCTGCTCCTCAGCCAATCGCCACTGGGATTCGACGAAGGGTTCTGCTTGCACCTAGCCCAGGAATGAAATATGAAAAACTCTATGTATATACGAAAACATATGTGTATTCCTCATATTTCCAACCCCGGATTTGCAAAGTTGAAATTACAACGATCCTACCCCTTGGTGTGGACTTCAGCCCACCTCTTGTCCTGGCAAGGCTGGCGCAGCAGCAACGGCAGACGACTCACTGCCTTGACACAATGATGGGAGAAAAAGAGAATATATGGGGCAGGGCGCTTGTGACAGTCAGGGTCCAGGGCACCTTGAGCAGCATAGGTAGCATAGCAACCAGCAACCCGGTGTGAGATAAATTGAATATCATCATCACCCACATCAGCCACAGAAGAACGTTCACCTTTTTTTTTGGTCAAGCTTTGGCAGGGTTTGGGCGCATGATGTTGCGGAGGGTCTTTGCAACCTGAGATGTTTGAACACTTCCATGGAAAGGAATGTTTGTTTCATTCATTGCATTAAGAATGCGCTTGTATTGTCAACTAAGAAACAGGTGTTTGGGTGTTCCTGTCCACCGCTTTTCTCCAATACCTTCTTGCAAAACTCATCAGGCCGAAAAGGGCGTCCGCTTCCTTAAAACATGACAAATCGAAACAGTAATGAACGCAACACAACACTGCGAACATGCACGCGCGCGCACAGAGAACTTTGTGCAGACAAAAATCATCACCAGCCCATTTCTTGCGTTCACGTCGCGTTTTCCCTTTCGAAAGCGCGTGCTCGGATTCTTCATCTAGCATCACAAAGGCTTGCTGGAAATTTCCATACGTGTACTCACCTAGGTTCATTCTTGGAAAATGTAAAGAGAAGCAAGCAATAAACAACAAATTCAAACATCTTGCGGTGTATTAAGCTGAGCAGCATTGGGGCTTGTTTTCGGCCAGCATGGAGATCAGTTTCAGGTAAGTATTCACGTCGTTGTAAGTAATGGCTTGGATATTCGGGATCTTTTGGAAGAGTGTGTTGAAGGGTGTTTTTTTCGAAGCGCACACTATGAAAGCATCAGCTGGAAGTGTAGCTTTCAAGCAACCTTGGACCCCCATTCCCACAGGTGCACTCTAAATCTTGGCATACCAAACATGTGATCATATAAAAACATATGCCGAGGAATGTCGAAGCTTAGATAAGGTCAAGGTACAAATGACCACTTCAACTTCTTCAGCCATCGGTCAACGACAGCACACGGCTGAACGTGAAAGCTAGGAAACCCTTTGAAATCAGGCTGCAGGAAAGTATAGGTTGAAGCGAATTCATGCGAGTTCATGCGGTTTCATCCAAACTGAAAAACCAAAACGTGTGCAGGATCCATACTGCAACAAACATTGGCATGGCAAAGGGGGGCTCTGTCCTTGAACTCGCGCACGTCGCTTCATTGCTCCCACCAAACATTGGCTTCCAAGAAGCAACAGCGTGACTTTGACTGAATAACATATGGATATATTTTGAAATATTGATATCCATTATGTTCATATTCCATGATGTCACTATCTTTGGAAAACATATATTGACATGAGTTTGAGCCCATCAGCTACCATCAAATTATCATGACCCCTCGCGGGCCCTCATCCTTTAAGATTGAAACCCCTTGAGGGGGCATGCCCCCTCCTCAGCACATACCTTTCATGCGGGGTGTGCTGATGACACTCCGCCCTGTCATGGTGAGACCCCTTGGATCCTTAGGGTATAATAATATATATATATATATATAATTACCCTCTGGTTATTTAACATAGCCATGGGAAATGGCCCATTTATAGATGGTTTAAGGTTTACCTATTAAAAATTGTGATTTTCCATTGTGTATATATATATATGCGGTACCTCCGACTCAGGTACCTTAAGCAACATTCATGATGTCGCACTGACCTGTGAAATGGTTCATTGCACATTGCATATCACAAACACAACATTGGGTATACGCAATCAATAAACAACAAGGATATTGTATTCACATATATGGCCAGATATGATATTATTGGGTAGCTATTATATTTACAAACGTCAGAATACCATTGGGTATTTGAACATATTTGAACCTTCAAACGTCAGAATATTATATCTCCACTACAAGGCCAAGACAATGTCACCATATTGGCGAATTGTTCATCAAACATGTTTAAACGTGTTTAAAACATTTTTAAACTATCCTGGGATAAAACTAACATAGATGTGGACAAAAAACCATGGAAAAATCCATGGTTTCCCAAGGAAAGTTCACCCAGCAAAGTTCCACCGGCGCAGTCTGCGCCCCTCCCGCGCCGGCAAGGCCGTTCTGCCTCGTGGCCCTCAGAGATCACGTCCAAAAGGTCGGCAAGCGACATGTGAATCAGCGCCATGTCATCTTCCTCCGGTTGTTCGGCCTGGTAAATTGGTCCCAGGTGTTGTCGGTCAAAGATCAAGAACAGTGAGGGATATGAATTCTGGAATGGGTTGTCAATGTTTTGGCGGAATTTCAATGGATGGAGATATCACGATATCGAGACCAAGCATAGTGCATCGCTACCAGCAGAGGGATACCCTTGCGGAATCGAACTTAACCATGGACAATCCCGTGCCCAAAATCATTGCATGGTTCGATGGGGGGGTTCTCCGTCGGGCGTCCCATTGGCCTCCCACGGAGAAGTGAAGACGATTTTCCCGATTCCGCTGATGGATTCATCAATGGGAAAGCTTGTTGATATGAGTCGAATACCGTTTACAACACTCAATATTCGTCAAATAATTACAACAGTTACTCACCCAATACTTACTATAGTTGTTTGACACTATCATTCTCAGCGAATCCAGGAGAACAGGACACCGGAAAGATCAAAAACCATGTATGGATCCTTATGGACTCTCCACCAACAGTCCGATGTACTCAAAAAAAGCAATGATATGTAGCCTGAAATGTGCTGTAGATCATTGTCAATCATACAACTTCCAGTCCCCATCGACATCAGGGACAAAATTCAGTTCCAGTTCTTCAAGTCCCCAAAGAATCCGCGAATTAAAAAAAAAACATGACCCCAAAAAACCATGGCGGATCCCATCGCATTCGCCCCTGGTTTCTCCCGCCTTGCCAGAAAGGCTCTGGCCGCCCTGCACCGGTGCCACCTGGCCCTGGAGGCCTAGGGTGCCTTGGGTGCCTTGGGTGCCTTGGGTGCCTTGGGCCACAGCCTGGCTGCGAATTTCCTTGACATCGCTGGACAGGTGCTGCATCTCCGTGTTCAGCTGCGAAATGCTCCTGGCGCCGCGATGGAAGCCTGGAAATCATCAAAAATCCATGGCAGTCGGAGTACAATCCCCAGAGGAAATTCATCTTTCGATGGGAGTTCTGGAAGTGCCATGGTTGATTGAACGGAAGCGACATTAAGGTGATGAGGTGATAAGGGATGAGGTGAAACCGCGTCACGGCCAGAATTCATCAAACTCTGCGGTTCTTGCCCGCTTCACTGTACTAGTTGGCAGTAAACAAAATAACATATGGCAGTAAACAAAATATTTTGGTCATTGCATTCACGCACCGCCTCAAACATATAGTGGTCGTTTCGGATCATTAATCCACCATATTTCAACTAGGCTGGAAAACAAAAAATGATATTCTCAAGAAACAGTATTCATTGTTTGTATATGCATGATAGCCCGTGATAGTCCATGTTAGCCCATGATAGCCCATGTTCCTGCTGATTGATTCCCTATTTTGATGATGAAACCCATGTTAAGCCAATCCAGTTCTGGTTATATACCCATCATATATCATTATAATTCATTATACCCCACTCGTTCTGGCCTAAAACGTTCATGGTGAAAGTTATTATCAAATCATCACACCAAATCTTACAATTCTGGAATATTCGCAGATGTTTGGTGATTTATGATGATTTATGATGATTCTTCCCACTGTGTCAAAATTTAATGGTCATTCCATGGTGATTCTTCCACAATCTTCTGAGATCTTCATGGTTCCCAGGCTCCTTTGCAATGCTTCCAGCTGCTTCATCACTTGCCCCAGCTCAACACTGGCGGCCGGTGCCCGCGGCATGACTGGCGCTGGCACCGCAGCCGGCGCAGCAGGCGCCGGCGGCGCAGGCGCAGGCGCAGGCTCCACGGTGGGCAGGGAACGGAAGAAGATCCAGATCTCAGCGTGCGGTGTGGCAGCCATTGAGTGATCCCAATGATCTCGATAAATTCAATATGGAGCCATGGAGAACTACCATTTGATTTAAATCTCCAGTAGCAGCCATCTAAAAAAACTTTAAGACATGATTTTTTATATTGGAAGAACAAGGAAGCCATTCTAAGATGTTTGGTTTGGATTTAAAATATGGTTTTGATATATGTTTGCTCAGAATATCTTTGGTTTTACTATGTCATAGAAGGAAGTTGGTTGACAAACGGGGTATCTGCTCTATGATATGTTAGGGTCACCCAACCTGTGATTCACAAACCTGCCGGTCGCTTACAAGAAAAGGCTTCTCGGTCGCTGAATTACCCTGTGAAAATGGCCATAGAAATAGTGGATTTACCCATTAAAAATAGTTATTTTCCATTGTTATGTAAACGTTTAACAGAGGGTACTCCATTCATTCCCATGAAATCACTTAGTCATCTTAGTCACTTGGTATATTGTTCATCCGCAAGCTTGCATCTGGAAAATAAAGAAACCAATTGTCTAAACATGCCGCCACAAAATGACCAAGTTGAAGGGCAAAATGTGTGACCCCTCTGTGATGGCAAGTAGTAGGAAAAGACATTTTCTGACTAGTAGTGGGACAGGGAAGCACTCAAAGTCTATGTATATATAATTATATATATATATACATACATACACACAACCCTACTAACCCTCAAGAAAGAAGCGCTTTGGGCATGGCTTAGATGGGTCAGGTCCAAAACGACATGTACCCAACCCATGTCAAATCGATCTAAGGCGTATGTCAGCGAATGTGCTCCCTTTTTTGTATAGCCGGGATACATGTCGGCATATACACACATGCTAACCCCAACCCTATACATTAATATGCATTAATAATAATAATAACAATAATAATAACAATAATAATAATAGTAATAATATATATATAATCCCATTATAATCCCAATATAATTCCATGATCCCATTGTAATGTCTATATATGCTTCTACTCGCAATTTTTCGTGCCACTGATGGTATAAGCACATGGTTTGGCACATTGCCACAGCCCGAAAAATTGGACCGGATCTGGGGAACATTGTGGACGGTAGTATAAGGTAACATTTCCATGTGAAGTTTATATGGACATGTGAAGTTTATATGTGACATTCCAGGTAAATCGACAATGTTTTAACATTTTTTGTGGCAACATTCAAAATATGGAAAATCTATGGAAATTTCACAGATGAATCATGGAAAACTCAATGTGCTGATGGCCCTAGCATACCATAGCTATGTGCCGTCTCCGGCAAAAGTCAACCGGATATTCACCAAAGGCTGAGCAATGGCAGTCGAAGGCCGGGAGTCTAAACAGCTGGATGTTGTTCGGGTAGTTACCAAGGTACTTCACCACTGAAGAAACCTAATTATATGTGAAGATTGTATATATATATATTATCCAATAAATATTACATAACCACAACTAAATATATTCATATAAAAGGATCTTAGGATATTACATAACCATACATAAGCAATAAACACGAGGTCCATTCCGAAACTTTGGGGACGATTATGATGATTATGGATAACTAATCCACCAAGAATGATGGTCCTGGTTGAGGAGGGAAGTGACATCGAGGCCAGGGAGGGTCGAGACCATGGTAATCTTATCCAGACTGCTGGGATTTCTGCTCCAAGAGGTTTTGATCCATTCCCAATCGAAAAAATATACACCTATGCCGCCTATGCCTATACCGGATATGATGGCCCTCGCAACCTGTAGATGGGGGTACAATTCCAGTCAACAACTACTTACCCACCAGTTATGGATAGCAGTTCTGTTCTAAATAATTCAACATAGATATGGAAATGACCGTTTTAAACAGGTGAAGCATCTATAAATGGTCCATTTTCCATTGCAAACTGTTACATTACCCAAGGGTACCTGCATCCTGCATCTATTGGGGGTACCTCCAAATCATCTATTTTAATAGGATTTTCCAGCTATTGGGGTACCCCCATGGCTCAGGAAACCTCCATAATTAGATGTCACGCTGGTGGTTTCGGCCCGATCGATCTCCGGATCTCTCAGCCAAAGTGACCATCATCACACATGTATAAAGGCCCAAGATCATTCTCAAGGGCTCAGGACATTCGCTCATCACACCTCAGCTTGGACGAGATTGAAACGATTCTACCAGAGCTGAGGTGTGTTGTTCCAAAAATTATGGGAAGCAATGGTTTGGGGCTGCGCAAGCCATGAGAATTGATGAATACTGATTCAACATAATAAAACAATGCCCTAAGGAGTCACGTATCCACCGGGATGTATTTGTCCTTTAAGGTTCATGGTTTCCGCACTGAGAATAATTATCCAAAAACGAGGTCCTGGTCACAAGTGGAATAAAGCTAAGTAGCTGGTGATGCATCAGAGATAACTCGCCAGAGATCTTGTTTTCATCATAATGCTAATCCATAAACCCACAAATATGAATCCACTGTTGGTTTAAATTGGTTTGTTAAATCTCATTGAAATCCCATTCTTATCCATTAGCATCTTATTTGAACAAAACACTTATTGTACTGATTTAAAATTCATATTCCACTCATGAATCCTGAGTATGAATACTAATTGGATGTCATGAGATTCTCAAATATGAACCACTATTTATCTATGAATGTCTCATGAATTTATTGCTGAATCCACCAGTTGTAGTACTCATAATTATAGTAACTATAGTATGATTATGATTACTGTAATTATGAATAGTATTTTCATTCTCTAACCGTACCATCTACCAGCCACGCTCCCCCTCCAAAATCCCAGTGGCCACTGACTGTGCTGGCCGCCAACTGTCCACCCTCACCTGTGATGTGAGGCGAACATCTGGCAATCCGGGTTTCCTGGAATGGAGGTACCCCAAAATGGATGGTGTTTAATATAAAATCCAACTAAAATGAATGATTTGGGGGAACCCTATTTTAGGAAACCTCCATATCTGAAATGTGACGACCTACATAGCATATGACACTATGTCAGCGTCTGTATCCATCAGATTAAGTCACATAATTTTCATATGACACGTGTGTCTAATTGATACATACCTGATATCTTTTAGTTATAATTAGATTGTTGTCATTATGATTCAACAATTGATACATATCTTGAAATATGTTTAATTTTGTCAGATCTAATTATCATATGATGATGTTCAATGAACCAACAAGCGCCTTACGTTTCCAATCAAAAACCCCCAAAAATATGAAGCAATTCGTATCATCATGCCGTTTCACCGTATGGAAAATCACACATGTTTCAAACAACTCTTTCAGAATGTTTGAATGACAAGACCATTGGTGTTGCCAACCATCACTCAGTTCAGGTCAGCTTGGAGGTTCTGAATGAAAAACCCTTTGCATCCATTGTTCATCTTTGTCCAATTTTTCGCTTACCATTCTGGCGTAAACCCAATACCAGCAGATTCACCAACCCCTTCAGCTCTGATCTTTTTACGACAGACCGACCTGCCGCTGTCAGAAGTTTACGCCGTAATCATCGCGCGTGTGGCCAAAATCAGCCAAACTTATTTTCACATGGCGACCGCAAACAAGTTGTCAAACCAAGAGATGAGTGGAGTGCTGCAGGCCGATTCAAATCAGAAAAACAACCTTGGGTAAAATTATGCAAAATTATGTAAGCAAAACAACCCGTTTATAGGTGATTTACTCACTAAAAAATGGTGATGTTCCATAGCTATATTAAACTAGCAAAGTGTCTTTTAAAAAGCAAAACAACTACAGGGAGAATTGACCATTTCCAAATCTGTGTACAGGTTGCTACCGTGCCCGATGTCTACCTGCCAAACCTGAATAGGTGGATTGCATCTGAAAATAAAGGCTAAAGGCAAAGTACTCTGATAAGTGGAATATTTTCTACTCATCGGAAAAAGTCGGATGGTCATGTCCGGGGCCATGCATACGGACGCATCAAACCGATTCTTGTTGCTTGTCTACGTTCGTGACCAGACTAGTTGTTGATCACCCATAGAGAAGGCCCATCCTATTGACGTTCCGTTCGACATACTCATGTGCTTATAGCCTCAGGATTTGTGGAAAGGGTATGGATCACCCCTTGGAAAAAAAACATATGATCTTCGGTCCATGGCTCAATGTCATCATGTCGTGCGGCTGTCGTGGTGTAAAGTCGTCCCCTTTTGGATTCACAAATTGTTTTCATTTGTGATCCACTTTCGCATTTACAGCGTTTTTCGATGAATCTCTATTGGGCAAACCACAAATCCCCCACAAAAATATGAAAACGAATCAGTTGTTGAACATATTAAATAATAATATTATATATATGATGTTTATGCAGTGTTTTTCACTACAAACCACCTAGATTTAGGGTGGCAATATAATCGCGCGCCTGTAAATTGAATACATGTAATACATTGTACTACATCACATTGCATTACCTCACCTCAACTCACCTTGCCGTATATTACATAACATAAAATAACATTACATAAATTGTTTACGTTTCATTAGTTTACATACATACTATATAATGTTTTGAATTTGTTTTCATTGATTTCTTCATTTAAAGCGACCAACTTAACAAAACCACGTATATACTATATATATGTGTGTGTATTAATACATAAAAATATATACCCATGGCAACAACAATAGCGGCAACATCTAACAGTTTGTTGGCATCCCTTTTAAGCAATATTGATTCCCACATTGGTCGCCAAAACCAGGACCTGGCAACAGGGGACCCCGGAAAGGTTCTGAATGGGAAAAAAACACTTACATTACTTGGTTTTGCTGATCCGGAGCCCCCACAAAAATACAACATATTCCTTAGATATTGCAGCCGTAATGGATTTCTCATTGGGAAAACAAACCAAATCATTGGCAAACCGCAAATCCAGGATTATGAACCATGTTACCCTATATAAATGGAAATATTCATTGGACATTCCATGTCAAATTGAACTAGAATATGGTCATCACCCAGTAACTAACTGGGATGCACATCCAGGTCGTCAATCCAAAAACCAACCAGGGAAAGATACAGTGTAATGTCCAGGTGCCACTAAACTACCCCTCGAAATAAAGCACGCCAAATCCCGGAAAAAATTAGTAAACCCCCCCCCCCGGTAATAAAGTATGCAGACCGATTTTTGGGATGTTTGTTTTCCAGTGTGTTTTCGTTTTTTTATAAACCAAATATACTTTATTTAGGGGGGGACCTAAATAAAGTATGTTGAAACGATTTCTGGGGAAACCCTTTCTCAAACCCTTTCTGGAAGCCTTAATTAAGACCCTTTGAGTCCCCTTTGAGTTGGAAGCTGGAACACTCAAATGGTCGGTTTCCTTGCTAAGCCCTTATTTAAAAATGCTCAAAATCAATCCCGCAAAGGGGGTAGTCCTGACGCCCCCTAACATCTAAATAATAATCAATGATCACACCCCCTAAATAGAGTATTTGGATCTGAAGGGTCTAGATTGTGGTGATTCAAATCTCAATTCCTTTCCTATGGACACTTAAAAAAAGATATTCAGCTAATCCATGAACAAAATACGTTATTTAGGAGATCTAAATAAAGTATGTTGAAATAGGATTTTATTAGGGGAAGACCACTTATGTATTCGCTTTCAATTAGGCAATTCATTTGGGAATACGAAAATGAAGAGAGAAGTCTACTTATACATTCATTTTCAATTAGGCAATTCATTTGGGAATATTAAAGTGAAAAGAGATATCCACTTATATGCTTTCAATTAGGCAATTCATTTGGGAATCTTATATATGCGTTTTCAATTAGGCAATTTGTTCGGCGCCACATAAGACTTATTTTTTTACAGGGACCCCAGGCCATTGTTTGGCCTCAACTTGATTTAGATGCTCTTAATGTTTGAGGGGGGGTTTTATAGCACGTCAACATTATACCTGCTGCGATGTTCACCCTCTCGACATCTTTGACATGTGCCAAGTGCGGCTGGTGTTTCTTCTAATGCAACCAAATATCCAAGGCGTTCGTTTCAGTACCAACAATATGACAGGAAATGAAAAAACTTCACCAATCGAAACTGCCGCATTTTTTTCTTGGGGGGGTTCCCAAATGATTTCCAGGAAAAGGACGCTGATGTTCCAATGATCTCTTCGCCAGAGGCGGTCGTCATGTCTTGGTGAAACGATTCGCGGTGAGATTGCGCGGACAGCGGTTGTGAGACGAATTTCTCGACAGAGCATTGTACATCTCTCGGCAACCGCCTACGGATTGCCCAGAAGCGAAGACCATCCACAATCCAAAGGCAATAATTTCAGGTTCGCAACTTGGCTACGAGTAACGTATAAATGGGACATTTTAACTTGCTTAGCCATATGATATATGTATGTCCGGTTTAATCATGATTTATATTCAGTTCTTCACAAATATGCATATCCAAATAGAATGAGTGCTGTGTTGCACCCCCGTTCATCATCATTTCTCTTGTTTTGGCAACGGTTTAGCTGCTAAAGTTCGCTAAAAGGTAGCATGGGGTGAAGGCAGATGCAGGAGTGCTGTGTGTTAAGATCAAAGAGATATCCTTGATAATCTATGCCATGGAGCAAGCTGACATCAATTCTAAAATGGAAAATTGTCAAAGTACACGTTAGGTTCTTCGTCAGATAGAACACCCAAAAGAATGTCGAATACAATGTCAGAGAAAATGTTAGAATATATGTCAGATAGCATCCCAGAATACATGTCAAATACAATGTCAGTTGCAATGTCAGAGAAATGTACTAATATTATGTGCAATTATGTGTATATATACATATGTAGATATCATATCAGAGAAGATGTCAGATAGAATGTCAGAATGTATGTCGGAGTGTCATTGGTATGCCAATGACCGGGTTGGGGCTGGAGCAGGGTGGGGTAGGGTATCAACGTCCACGTTGACTTGTACGCATACTTGATGCTATGCCAATGATGGGATTGGGTTATGGGTTCAGAGGGTGGGATATTGAGGTCCGTGTTACCTTGCACACATTGGGGTTGGGGTAAGGTGGTGTGGGGTGCATGTTGGCCTGATACGATGAATGGGGTAGGATGTCTACGTCCATAAGTTCCAGTAATTGGGCCAAGTAAGTGCTAGCTAAAACGGGTTTGTTCAGCCTCATTTCGACTTCACAAGTCATCCGTCCTGTTTGAGAACTAAGTAAGGATGCATCCCCTTGAATCAGGATCCATGGCCAAACAGGCCGTCCAAACAAAACATATTTAGAGCTCCTGCGACTCCTTACTTGTATGAAAAACCATCAATATACCAGTAGTACCGCACAAGGCGGTGGCGGAAGTTTTAAAAAAAGGAAACCTATAGGAGAGGTTGGTGGTTGTGAATCAGGGATGGCAGAGCGAAGCCACTGATGGACCGAAAGGTGCTTGAGTTGTTGTTGTTGTTGTTGTTGTTGTTGTTGTTGTTGTTGTTGTTGTTGTGGTTGTGGTTGTGGTTGTGGTTGTGGTTGTTGTTGTTGTTGTTGTTGTTGCTGTTGCTGTTGCTGTTGCTGTTGCTGTTGTCGTCGAAGTTAGGGTAGTTACGTTAGTGAAGTTACTTAAGTTAGTCAAGTTAGTTAAGTTAATCAGTGCCTACCTTTTCGACATCTGCACGTCAAAAAAGGCTCAAAACCCTCAGTTTTTTACACTTTTGACTTCAAAATGTGCTTCGCGCCACAACGGCGTGCACTTTTTCGACACTTTTTCGACATCTGAACCTCCAAAAGTGGTCCGAGACCGCCAGTTTTTAACACTTTTGACTTGGAAATGTGCTTCGCGCCACAACGGCGTGCACTTTTTCGACATCGCAACTTCC